CCCCCAAAACCCCAAAACCCCAAAACCCCAAAACCCCTTACTAATATTTTTAATTGAAAATGAATTATTTCTTATTCACTATCGATGGCCTTATTCTAGCACTTTTGTTCCTTTTTGGGAATTTGGTGGTGATTCTAGCACTTACTTCTCTCTTCTTCTTCAGTTGTTTTTGGAAGACCAGAGGTGCGTTTACCTTTAGCATATTCATCCTGGATCTTTCGGCTCTGGCTGATTGAAGATATTTGCGATGAAGAATCCGAGAAGAGTTTGATACACCGCTCTGAACAGATTTAGTGGAGCGAGCACTAGTTTTGTATAACATAGATCTCTAAATGGGTTAATTCTGAGAAAACTCTTACCTTTTGCTTATATTTTTTCCCAACAGGCTCTTGGCTATCAAGAAAACCTTGCAACTTTGAATTTTGAGCACTGAGTAATTTATGAATATAATCTTTCTTAAATTCTAATGTCTGAGGATTGTTAATTGCGTTATAAACCTCATCAAACATCCTATTGTCATAAATCCTTCTATTGAAATCCTTAATGATTTTGGAGCTCTTAAGGAACTTAGTCACTGTTTTCGAGTTATTCCTGATAAAAAGTCTCTCTGAAGTTCGTTCTAAATTTATTTAAGAAAGTATTACCTGAGGCTAGGTCAACTCCTGTCTTGGATTTTGGCATATTTCGAGTATTCCTTGAGCTCCTTGCAGCAGCCATTTCTTGCATAAATTCTACTTCAGAATCATGAGAAGTATCATGAGTTGGGTTATGACTTGCTCCATATGTCTTTCGATCATCATCCATACTGTCTGAAAAGACTTTTTCTCGTTTGAGTTCCATATAGCTCCTGTATTCCCCCCTAGTGGTATCGTAGAAGTTCTTCTGATCTTGGTTGATTTCGCCAAGCCTTCCATTGATTCTGTTCATATTTGCATACCATTTCTCGTTCATTTCCTCCAGCTTGTAGCTCTTTCTGGGAGAAGTATCCATATCTTTGTAAGAGATTATGCCTTTATCAGATTTCTTACGAAATAGTTCGGCTCTTTCGCCTAATAAAGCCATCAAGGACTTTATGTAATTCTTGAGCTTGGTGAAAAGGTCTTTGTCACTATCACTGAACTTCTTTTCTTCTTCCTTACGGACTAGGTTTAATGGAGAAGACGCAGCCCGGGATTTCTTTTCAGCAGTCTTTGGGCTGAAGACAAATACTTGGCTTCCTCCACTCTTTTTATAAAGAAAGGAGTTCTTTCTTCTAGCTGTTTTTACCATTTTAGAGTTTATCCTCTCTTTCTTAGAACTAGAGAAGGTGATATCTTCTCTAGTTGAACTATCCTTTGAAATTGATGCTCTTCTGTTATAAGAGCCACCTATGTCGAGCATCTTTGGGGGCACTGAATTAGGACTTTTGCTCTCAATAATTTCCAGTTTATAATTAATCTCTATTGATCAACAAGAGCTGACTTACTCGATATCATTTGATAGATGTAGCAGATAGTATCCTTGATTATAGTCCTACAGATTTCAATATTTTGAGACATGTCTTTATTTCCTCTCACTGAGATCACTGAGCATTGCTACACTCGTGACATTCTCTGCTTTTGGTACAACTTTATCCTTTGAGCGAAGGAATCCAACTAGATTAGCTGAGTTTTTCTTGAGTAATGCTAACTCTTGTTGGTAAGTTTTATACTCAATCCTCTTCTCTTGGCATATAGTGTTAATGTTCTCATATTTGAGCTTTAGGCTATTATGACTGATCTCTTTATCGCCTATTTTGACCAGCTCACCGATCTCCAGGAACTGGTCAGGATCGAGACTGATCCCTCTGACCTTGTTGTAAAGGTTCCTGAGGTCTGAATCCTGGGATACATTTATTACTGGAGCGATTCCGTAATCTTTAAATATCTCAGAGTTCGGAAGAGGCTTTAGCCTCGTAGAATTCTTCTTTATATCAAAAGTATCAGGCATCTCCAGGTATTTATTCTTCACCTATTTCTGTGACTTGAAATCTTACTATTTTAACAATATCTGGGTTATGTGTTGCTGTGTACTTTTGAATTTTATTTTAAGAGATCTAGCATAATAATAACCTTCTGGGCTTGGTCATGAAGCTCTCTTTCGTTACTATTCTTAGTCACCTCTTCATCCTCAAAGAAGGATGGCTTCGGGATAACTTGAGTACTCTGGATTAGATTTATGATTCGTTCCTCGATTTTTATATTTTGGTCTTGAAGTTATGAATATAAACTTACTTTGTAACCTCTGGAGAGCTATCAGCTTCTGTTTTTGAATCATCTTGTCTCTATTTCTTTGAATCTTGTAGAATTTTTCTGGAAGACAAGGTTTAGGAGGATTTTTATCTTTTGAAAACCCAAAGACTGATAATTGGTCAGGTTTTTGGTTATCTTCTTCGTTCTAAATTTGAGCATAAAAACTTTACATTTCTCTTAAGTTCACATGCTTCCCCTTTGAACTCCGCTCGCTTGACGTCTTCATCTATTTTCTGGGCTTGCTCATGTTCCATCATAAGTTTTGATACTTTAGTCTTGAGGTACTTAATTTGTTGTTCTTGGGTTAATTTCATATTTCTAAGACAATCTCTTTGGTATTGTTCAAAGTTTATTTTCCCTTTGATACCTCCTCTTTTGGTCATGTCATTCCATTCAGAGTTAAAGCAGCGCTGCTGGAGCACCTCAAATCGATTTTGCAGCTTTACAAGTGATGTGACACCAGACATGTTCTCAGAGGGCTTAATTCCCTCTCTGATCCATGTTGAAGTTTTGAATGTATTCGTTGAGATTTTTGAATCTTGTGGCTGAGCTAGTTTTATTGATCCTTCCTAAACCAATAATTAATCTGTCAAGACCCCATTAGAACATTTTTGGTAAACTTACAGAGTAGAGACGGTTCCAGATGTCGCTGTAGAACATCTTTGACTGCGTTTTTGCAGCCAATTGGTTTTTAGGGCTCATCTCTGAGCTCTCTCCTTCCTAATTTATCAAGGTATAGGCTTACAGCATCTTCTTGGTCATCGACCTGAATTGGAATGATTTCTGTCTGGCTGTGATCTTTGGTGTTGTCTTGTAAAGTTTGTGTACAGAGTTCTTCCTCGATTGCAAAGTTTTCAACATCAAATTGATCATACTTCTGTTGCCCATTCATATGTCTGATGTCATTTAGGATTGTCTAAAGAATCAGAAGATAGCTACAAGCAGTCTCTTGAGTTTTTGTTTCTTTTTCTTATTTTCATTAATTATGCTATCTCTTATGCGAATTCTAGAGGTCTTAAGGAATTTACATTACTCTTTAGCCATTTCTTTTGATTCAGGATCCTATATAAAATCTAACTTCTATAACCAAGATCCAATTCTAACCACTCAAAACAGCTCAAAAATGCTCTAAACTAACTCCTAACCCAACTTTCCACAATTTTCTAAATACTCCCCTCCTTCTCTTTTTTCTCAATTTCCTTAAAACCCACTCACTGCAAGATCCCTTATAACCTGAGATTTCATGCTCAAATAAAATATTTATTCTATTTAAATATTTAAACAGGGGTTTTGGGGTTTTGGGGTTTTGGGGTTTTGGGG